GTTCAACGAAGATCGTAAAGGAAGCATTGACCAAAGGTTGGTATACATACATTTAAAAACTATGCAAAAGTACATCAATATATTATACATATATATGTATATAAATTACTCTTTTATAATGAATATTTTTAGGAGCTGTTATTTATGTCCTTGATTTATTCTGCAATTCAAGTAATATTCAGGTACGAGAAACAGCGGCTGAACTGCTCGCCAAAATGTCTTCAGATAAATTGGCTGGACCAAAGGTGAAATTAGATCTATCTAAATTTTTACCCAGGTTATTTAGTGAAGCAATACGTGATGCACCTAAACAATGTGTACACATGTTTGAAACGAAACACGAAAATCCAGAATTGATTTGGGACGATGAATCTAAAGCACGAGTTTCAAGAATTGTTGCAGAATTAAAAGATGAGTATGTTCTATTACTATTATTATTATTATTATTATTATTATTATTAATTAGCATTAGGAATTCAAAAGTTCATACCAAGTTCAAATACCAAATTCTGCCAGTGTTCTTGTCCCTAAGCGCGACCCCTCCATTCGCAGTCTTCGTATCCTATTTCTTTAAGATCCTTTCTAAATATTGTCTTATAATATTGTCTTCCCATCTACCTAGTGGTCTTTTCGATCTCGTCTTTTTGCGATCCTCCCCCATGCACCGTGCCACGTGACCAGCCCATCTTAATCGACGTGACTTTTTGTTTTTGTCTATATAATGAAATTAATATAGATCATTGAAAAAGCTGTATACTATTTAATATGTATAATCATTTTTTAAATAGATATTTCGCATTGCAAAGGAGAAATCCTAATGCGATATTGAAGTTACCAGACACGCAAAATAATATTGATATCACTACAAATGAGCCTGTAGTGGGTGGCGTATACCTCAGATTATTTATAGCTAGTCCTGCATGGGCTCTTAGAAAGCCTAAAGAATTTTTAAGCGAACTTATGGACACTATTCTTATATTTATGTCTAAGGAAAAGACTGATGTAAGAATTACAAAAATAATTAACTAGAAATAACAAGAATGATTTTATCTTATGTAAAAAAAAAAAAAAAAAACAAATGATTAAAATATATAATTTAATAGATCACTTTTCATAATCATCAGCAAATAATATATGAGTATACATTTGTATGTATAATAATAATAATATATTTTTTTCAGTCGGAGATGTTAGAGCTTACAACACAAGCTTTGGTATGTTTATTACAAGCGCAACCCATGTTAGCAGATCAAGTACCATCTTTAGGCCATATACCACGATTATGCAGACAAATGGCAATGCAGAACAATCAACCTTCTGTATACAAAACAGCAATATTAATATTACATCAATTAGCTACCAGCGAGGTGAATTCATTTGATATTAAATTATGACGATTCTAATGAAATTAATAATAATAGTATTATTTATTTATATTTTTGGTTCTATTTCATTTGTAGATTTGTATATCATCTATTTGTCAAACGGAATGTATAAGTCCATTAAAATATGCTATGCAATCCAGACGGGATATGATAGCAATAGCATGCGAAACTTTAAATAGATTATTTTCAACGAATGAGGATAGACTTATTAAACAGGTGCGTTACATCGTTAAGCATAGATATTAAATATATATTATAATTGAATTAAAAAAATTCAAATAGAGTCTATGTTGAAATTGTATTTAGGCACTGGACGCTGAAATGGTGCCATATCTTTTAAACATATTAGAAGGTCGGTTAGATGCTATCGATAATGCAGCTACGACAAAAGCGCAAATAGTAAAAGCTTTGAAAGCAATGACGAGAAGCTTACTTTTAGGTGAAAAGGTTAATGCCATATTGGAGAAATCTAGTGTCTGGGCAGAATACAAAGATCAACGACATGACTTATTTTTAACAAATGCCCCCAACTCGGGCTTTATAACAGGTGAGATAAGTTATTGAAAAATCGGTATATCATATGTTTAAATCTAAACATGAATTTTTTGTAATTATTATCTAGCTGGAACACCAGTGTCCGCTGGTTATTTAACAGCAGGGCCCAGTACAACAATTACCACAGGTCCACCACCGGTTGACAAGGAAGATAGTTTAATTAGAAACGATAGCATCTGATATAGGTAGCATCGAAAGTCGTACAAAAGGCAGTGAGATTATCAATGATAAAATTCCTGTCGGTCTATCTTATTGATATAGAGACTATGTTGTCTGTGATTTTTGGCTATTTAAAGAAAGGAATATATTATTAATTGAATAATATTCGGTTGAGCTACTTTTTCTTATTATTAGTATTTTTTTAAGTGCACATCATTTATTCACTCTATTATATAAGAGTTAAAACAAACAAAAAATGTATTATTATAATTTACGTAGTTATTTTGAAAGCTATTTGTTTAGTGTCAAACTATGCCAATCCGTATGTTATATCAAAGTTTATTTTCGAAACTAACTTTTCATGCCGTACTTGATGATAGTAACGTAATATGATTTCTGTTTATTCTTATAGCGAATGTATACTTACTAATGATCGTAAATTATTATGATCTTGTATGAAATATTTTTATTAATAATATTTCTTTTGGATAATCTCTATCTATCTAGAATTGGAAATATTATTGATGAATAATATTGAAAATATGTATGAAAACAACATTTTCGGCCTGTCCAATTCTTTAAAGTTATCACTATGCATTTTTAATTATTCGCAGTAAAATCAAAATAAAAAAAAAAAAACAAAACAAAAAATTATACAAAAATATTAAAAAAAAAAAAAAAAAAAGGAAAAAAAGAAACATCATCATTTGTAATACAACAATTTCCTCTGTGATACCATTCTAACAATAAAAAGGAAGATTGAAATTCACAGATTACAAAATTACATTTAACGCAATAACATTCCAATAATATGGAAAACGACATATATATATAAATATATATATATATATATATTCGTTTTTTTACTTTTTTTCAGCATTGGTGTAATTAAAAATTTAATTATATAAATGTAAAATCTATGTTATAAACATAGGAGAAATCATAAATTGACCTAATTTACAGTTATTAGATATCAAATATCTATAATACATGATTTAATATTTATTTTTACGGCCACTATATCACTACATACTATCGTCATAGTTATATTTGTATTATATATATATATATATATATATATATATATATATTTATATATATATAATATAATATTTGTATTGAGGTCTTCTCAACATTTTTTTTACGAAATAGTTGCATTTTAAGTGTTACAAAGTATTCTCGTTATTTCTCATTGCAATTGCATATTACATGTTAGCATCAATTTATGCGACATAGATTTATATTATATTTAATTCTTATAAGTTTTTACAGTTTAATAACGTATTTGATAACTTTCAAAATGAAGTCCAACAGAACAAAAAAAGGAAAAGAAAAAAAGCTTGAGCATAAACGAGAACACTGTTGTCGTCGTCGTATATTCATTTAATACGTTTAATGTATAATTGACTTTCCTTTTAAAAATATTTTCTTTTTCTTTTTCTATAAATATAAACAAAGAAAAAATGTACATTTTTAACTGTATATCGTAGAACTTATATATATATATAAAAATGAAAAGAAACAAAGATAATCGTTGCATCGCAAAAAAAAAAAGATATCCCATGCAAAACAAGCCTAACGATTGATTAATGGAATTTTTCCAATTAAAAACTGTACATAGTTTTAAGGAAGGACAAAAAAATATAAGATTCATACGGGATATTGTAACTAATTACTCACAGATAAGATGTACTTCTCTCTCTGTCTCTGTCTCTCTCTCTCTCTTGTTCTCTCTCACTCTTTCTCTTTCTCTCTCGGCCACGATACGAATTTTTTCTCTGACACATTGCGAACAGAAAAAAAAAAAACATCTTAACATTAAACAAAATTTGGAGTTATATAAATATATATATAAATATATATAATAAATTTTTTATATTATTCTCTCCAAATATAACTCCAATTGTGCGTACAAAAAGTAAGAGGGATATCTTCTATTGGTGATAAGATCTGCTGTCCGATGGATATCGAGTTCCATATTCAGACACGATCTCTGTTTCATATCAATTATTAGTATATTGTAAAAAAAAAAAAAAAAAAAAAAACAAAAACAAAAGAACTTGTCCAACATATTTGTCCGTATTTTAAAAGATAATACCATACACAAAAATACGCGTTACTTATTCATTTGTCATTTTAATTAATAACAAATCTTATTCTTTACTTCGGATTGATTAGTCGATTTTTGCGTGAATTATTGAATTTTTCTCTTTTTTTTTTTTTTCTTTTGTTATCTCTCTTAGAAATGAAAACGTAAAGTTCCTCTCGCAATAGCAATAATGTGCCTAGCTGACGCAATTCATGTTGTATACATATAAACATATAGATATGCTATATCTCTTAAGTATATTTAATAAGATACAATTGTTGTTATTGTACGAATAACCGAATTGTTTGTAAAATTTTCTTCAGCTGTTTATTTATTAATTAATTTTTTTCTTTTTCAAGTGAAAACTTCTTTAGAATGGGTGTGATTTGAAAAAATGTAACGGATCGGTTAGGCGGCGATGCAACGGAGCGGTGGGAGGCAATGAAACGGCCGCGATGATACTAAATAAGAAGAGAATACAATTATCCTACAGCAGATATTTTCTATTCGTCTGATTCTCTCGAAACTTAGTTTTTGATGATTTCACTTGTAACACGTGTGATCTGCACACATGTTTCTTTTTTTCTTTTTCTTTTTTTATATGAACGTAAAATCGACTGTTCAATCTTAATGTTATCATTACAAAGAATACAAAATATTAATCAGTATTAATTGATAAAGGAACATTTTTGAAATAGTAACGCGTATATTATGTGTATAATGTTATTACAAATTTGCACAATTGAATTATTGAAGAAGTACGAAAGAAAATTTTAAAAGTTAGTTACTTTGGTCGTCAATGTATACATATTTGAGTTATCATAATTACAAAATATTGTGTGTATATATGTATACATATATAAACACAATATTATGAAACATATACACTCACGCTCTCATACACAAAATCATACACATACACACACAGAGACACACACAAGTACTCACGTATATATATATGTAAGGGATTATATCACAGATTATTGTACGTAAAAAAATTCTTACGAAATAAATGATTTTACACATGATTTTACACTTTCTCCAAAGATAATACATAGTAATAACTTTAATACTCTATGGTAATAGTTATTGTTAGTTTTTTTTTTTTTTGTTATAAAGATAATAAAAGAACTAACTTAATTATTTATACAATCTTTCTTATCAAAACGCACTAATCGTTTTTTTGGTTTTTCAGTTCTTGTAATATTTAGCTCAAATTTAAATATTTATTATCAGTATAATTGTTGAGTAACATATCCAGATCATTCTTTAATTCCGTAAAAGTCGGTCTGCTTTGAGGTCTGATATGCCAACACGAATACATTATATTATATCTAGATACAAAATTAAAACACTATATGATAATAATCTATAATTAAAAGATTAGATTGAAATTATAATATATCAATGTTTCATATAAACTTACAAATTTTCTCCACAATTTGGTGGCTTTTCCATTCTATATCCTGTTTTTAAAAGCTTCAAGATATTACTTGTGGGAACCCCAGGATATGGTGTACAACCTAACGTAATTATTTCCCATAAAAGAATACCAAAAGACCATCTGCAATTAAAAACATATTTTAAAGAAATATAGTTAAATCAACATCAATTATTTTACGATAAAACAAAAATGTTGGATATTATTAATATAAATATAATATTTCATAAAATTATAAATATTACACGTCACTGTGAGTTGTATATATCTGATGTGTCAAAGCTTCAATCGCCATCCATTTTAATGGCAATTTACCGCTTCCTTGTTTTTTATAAACATTTTCTTGATAAATATCACGACTAAGACCAAAATCTGATATCTTGACAATATTGTCAGAGCATACTAAAACATTACGTGCTGCCAAATCACGATGTACTATTCGATTTGTTGATAAAAATTCCTACAAATAATGTTTTTTTTTTTTTTTATTGTGTTACGTGATATAAATAAATAAAATTAATTAATATTTCAATAGATTATTAAAAGTTACCATTCCATTAGCGATTTGCCTTGCAAAATTCAATAAATCGACTGCAGTAATATATTCTTTAATCAAATATATATATATACATATAAATAAATATAAATATTTATTATCATTATGTGATATTCAAAATCATATATTATTTACATATAATTATTAATTCGACTTACCCTGTCGAATGCCATATAAATGATTTTCAACGGTACGATCAGTCTTCTGATCATTTTCATAATTATGAATACACTGATCGAATTTAAATTGCGATTTATAATCTAAAATATCGTTAATAGTATTTTTCCATATCTGAAAAAAAAAGAAACGGGACAAAGAAAAAAAAAAAAAATATATATGTACTTAATTGTTAATACTAAATCTTATTCTTTACGTACTCTATAAAAGAACGAAGAAAATATTTGAAGTCTCAACCTTTCTCAAATATGTTTGCAGATCTCCATTGCAACAATATTCAACGATCAACAATGGTTTGTTATACATCGTACAATAACCAATTAATGAGACTATATTTGGATGTTTTCCAGCTGATTTCATTATTTGAATTTCTTTATAAAAATTATTTATATCATCGACACTTGGATTATCTTTGTAACGAATAAAGATTAGATATTCATTAGATGATTAGATAAGTTTACAAATTTACGAATACGTAAATGTGTACGTGATGATAATTGTTAAGTCAAAAAAATTGACAAATATTATTTTATCATTTATTTAATATTATATAAATTATTTATATATCAGAAAATAAATCAATTTTTCAATTTTTGTTGACTTTGCACTCCGCGTGACTACGCGACAGAAACGGCACATTTACAGACCCTCGTATTATTTAGTATAACTTTGGAACCAAACAATGGATTCTAATGATATTGGACTTATATTAATCTGTAGACATCAAGGAACATATTTACCTAAAAAACTTTTACCAAAAGAACTTATTTACCAAGAGAATGTATATGTGTAATAGCGTTGCAATTGAACAAAAAGTGAGCGTGTTCCATTGTATTTGAAATGTGTGATACTATTTGATAATATTTCTTTGTACATTATAAATCTCACTATAAAATGCGAGATATATGTTCCTATAAAAAACATATCTTCTACAAATTCTTCTTATCTCGATCTTCTCAAGTTTTGCCAAAAAGTTCTCGGACCGTCGTGAGCACCGCGTCTCGCATTTTCTTAGAACACAAAACCCGTTGACATTTGTTTGTATATATCTTTGTTATTTTACTAGATTTTGATTCGATGTCTTGTGCTATTTTGAGAGAAAACATCAGGGAAACATGCATGTCTCAAAAAGTTGTGCTGAAATAACTGAATTCCCCGTAATCACTAATAAACTTTAATGTTTCATACGTTGAGACAGCGGAGTGCAAAGGGTTAATCCACTTTCATATAATTACTAACACGTATGTGTATATTTATTAGATATTTTTAGATAAAATTAAAATACCTTTAAGTCCTTTAACTGCCACGTTAATAACAGTACCGAAATCATCTCGAAACAATCCAAGTCTAACGATTCCATAAGCACCACTTCCAAGAATATCTTTTAATTGTAATTTTTTCGGAGATAATTCAAACTTATCCAATGGTAAAAGAGTTTTATCATTATTGGATATGTTTTTATTTTCTTCTAATAATTTAGGCACACTCGTAGGAAATTCCTTTTGATTTAAAGCCTATTATTTATTTATTCGTACATGCAAAAAGAACAAATATAAAAATCGTATTATTATATTTTGCTATTTAATTTGAACGCGTAATTTGTTAATGTCTTACCTGAAAATGCGTATATTGTTTATGACATAATTTTGTTCTTCCTTTAAACAGAAACATGCAAATTGTTACCAATATAAAAATCGTCATTATAATGACTAACGGTATCATGATGTTTTGAAAAAGACTGTATTCATTTACTAGACATACCAACAAAAAAAGCAAAGGAAATTAACGAATTAATAGATAATAATTAATGAAATAACATTTTGCTAAGAAAAAAAAAAAAAAAACCATGAAAATCCATTGTATTTACCTAACATCACGTTACAATCGGTTATTATTTTAGATACTGGACTAGAACCACCAATGGAATCAGCTATAATACTGACTTTATATTGTTTTTCCAATTTAATATCAATAAAATGTGCCTCGGTTTCATTCTAAGTAAAAAAAAAAATTAAATTTCTACAAATATTCTAAATAGTATTTTAACGAGGATTGAGAAGAAAATAAAAAAAAACAAAAACAAAAAAAAACAAAAACAAAAAATAGAAATTGATCGTAATACAAACCCCAGGTACTGTAAGTAATATTTTGTCTTTTCGAAAAGTTTCCAATTGGATCGTATAATTATCCGGTTCTATGCTAGGTTTATCCCAGTTAACGATAACATCGTAAAGACCATCATGTTTGTAAATATCTATCATGTGTAGTCCCTCGACCTTTTGTGGAGCTGTAATAAAATTGTATTTTATACGACACGATCCACAACACATCTCGATGATGATGATGATGATAATAATAATAATAAAATCGCGTTAATAGTATAAATGATTTAATAATCTATCTATCTATCGTTTACTAACAACAAATTTTCAAATTATTATGCATTTCCAAGCAAGAAGGTGTAACAAATGTTAAAGTTGTTTGATCACTGACGTCCTTATCGATACCGTTTACAGAAGAAACATATACCGTTGTGTTCCGATCAAATTCTAAATTACGAAGATGGAAACTAAATGTCGGAGCCTGGAACAAATTCCCGTGTAAGTAATCAAAAATAAATTACACACAGACACACAATCTAATTTTATATTACCTTCCGTATTGTTAAGTATCTTAAATCGTGTTCATATTGCCAATACAAGACATTATAATAACAACTCAAATCTGAAATATAACAAATATTATTCTACATACTGTGTTCGTATATAACAACACAGAGTGTCTCAAAAGTTTCTTTAATAAATTGGAAAAATTAGAAAATTATTTTAACAAATATTTAGATAGATCGAGGGCAGATCATGAGCCCAATATTTGTTTTAATAACATTCTAACTGAACATTCATATATTTATATAAAAACAAATATCATAAATATATTAATGAATTAATATTGATTTTTTAATATTATTTCTTCGGTAATGTAACTTTTGGGATACCCTTTATACATATAAGGGTGATTCACCTAAATAGCTTTGAAAATATGATAGTAACCGAAAAGTAAATAAGGAAAAAGTTACATGAAAAATTCAGGACTATAATATGACATTAGTATTTTTTTTTGCTAGGTTGAATTAGTTTTAAAATTTATTGGTCAAGTTTGTTTTTTTAAATGGCTAAGAGCTGGGATGAATCACCCTGTATATATGTATATATATATATAAATAAATGTACACAATGTCATGAAAGTCATTTGCATTTATAACATGACATATAAGTACATTAGGGGTGCCCAGCCACACGTTGCTGTGGCTCACAATCAGTCCGATACACACGTCTTTAAGTCAACGAATTACCTTATACCGATTATAAACTGAGATATAAACTATCCTATTTTTCAAGTTGGATGAAATTGCACAAAGTGTGCAAAATTTGATTAAAATCGGTTCAGTAGTTTAGGAGTCCATTGCGAACAAACAACGTGACACGTAATTTATATATATTAAGATTAGCATTACCGTCCGCTGGTTCAAAACTAATATCTGCAGAAAGTCGGCACACATTGGTCTTATCTATTTCCATTTTCAACAAAGATACATTAAAAACTTTCTTCGGCACATAATCAACTGAAATTCCATTGAAATATACATTTGTTAATACAATTCAATTGAGATTTATTTGAAAAAAAAAAAAAATTGAAAAAAAATAATTTGATTTACCATTGTAAGTCGAAAACCAATCCGATGTTTCTGGTCGAGATACACCTTTCTCTGTTAATCTTCTCAAACGAAATCGATAAGATGTATTTGATATTAAATTAGAAATGAAAGAAAATTTACCATTACTCTAAAAGAATAATAAATATATCATTCATATATTGTCATATATAATTTATATTTTATTTTTATTCTTATATCAAATTATTATTAATCCATTTTATTTACTATTTTGATTGTTTTCCAAATACGATCATTAGTACTTTGTTCGATAATATACTTTCCCATATTATGCTTGATCATAATACAATCCTTTCCTCTACAATTTAAATTGATATTTGCATTTGCATCTTCGTTTATCTGTGTGAATATTAAATTATGAAAAAAAAAAAAACTGTAAAAATTAGCTGTATCATTACTTCTTACAAAGATAATTTATCAAAATGATGAAATATAATGTAAATAATACAAAATAATATCTCAATTTTTTTGTTTTTTTTTTTTGTAATTAAAGAAAAACGATGACGAAAAAAATGAATTATTAAATCAACTATAATATATTTCGAAAGAACGAATGTATTTTTATATCTTGTCGAAAACATAGTTTAACACGACCTTATTTTAAAACAGCGTACCTTTTGAATATTTATTATGGTTCGTAGTCCCCATTACTTTATTTTTTTTTCTTTTTATTTTCTTTTGTTTTATTTTGTTTTGTTTTGTTTCTCTCATTTTTTTCGTCAATTAAAAAACATGAATATAAAAATTAAACGTTACAATGTATTATCTAAAAAGTTCATGCAGATTTATATATATATATATACATATATGTATATTTTAAATATATATATCGATATATGTATATTGATAAATCGATAGAAATTTATCGAACAACTCAATATAGCCCAAGAGCCCATGACAGTCAGACCTTCGTTATTTTATAAAAGTTGAAAGTTTTTCTGTAGATGTCTCCTATACAGATAAGAACGACCAGCAACTATAGAGTTTGGGTTGTGGTTAATTGGGCAGATAAGAGGTAATAAAGGTGTATAAAATAGTACCTTAAATTTGTTAAAGTATAAAGCTCAATTTTGTAATATTTTCTTCGGGATAACTTTAGAAATCTCGTCATTCATTGTCGAACACTTATGACAGTTGTTACCCCCTGCCAGACACCCCTAAACTGCATGCTGGGTATCTCAATGAAGATAACGGTATAGCAATCTACCTGGTCTCTTTTATACTATATAACGAAAGTATATAATATTATTTATTAAAGTTTATAAAAATGACAAGATTTCTAAAGTTATCTCGAAGAAAATATTACAAAATTGAGCTTTATACTTTAACGAATTTAACCCTTAAAGTGCACATGGGGTGTTTGATACCCCAACAAATTTTTGATCTCTCGAAAACGATACTGAATTCGAAAAAATGGGTTATTTGTCTAATGCCATCTAGTGTTAATTCAGACAAATATAAAACCTATTCTATTTTAAAAAAGATGTATCAAACTACTTTGAAAAAAATTGCGAGGTGTAAATATTAAATAGTGGCTTCAGGAGACGCGTTCAAACACGTTGGGGTGTCAAACACCCACAGTGCATTTTAACTAACTTTTACCAAGTGTGCACTTTAAGGGTTAAGGTACTATTTTATACACCTTTACTACCTGTTACCTGTCCAAATAATCACAACCCAAACTCTATAGTCGCTGGTCATTTTTACCTGTATAGAGGACATGCACGGAAAAACTTTGAGCTTTTATAAAATAACGAAGGTCTGACCGTCGTGGGCTTTTGCTCTAATAGATTTTTACAATTTTTTTTTACAGATAAATATACTTCGTATATTTAATATTCAATATATGTATCGATCACATATGATGAATTAAATACGATCATTAATAATAATAATAATAATAATGTCCTTTTATCTTGTCTCTTTTTGAATAACAACAAAAATGACGAACAATAAAAACGTACCTTGCTGTGACAGGAATTTATACACGATTCCTGAAAAATAAATAAAAAAAAGCTCCGTTATTGGTGATATCTATGACAATGATAAATAATAGTAGAAATTGAAAATGGAAGAATAAAATGTACATATATATATATGTGGGGTGCCCCGCCACACGTTGCTGTGGCTCACAATCAGTCCGATACACACGTCTTTAAGTCAACGAATTACCTTATACCGATTATAAACTGAGATATAAACTATCCTATCTTTCAAGTTGGATGAAATTGCACAAAGTGTGCAAAATTTTATTAAAATTCATTCAGTAGTTTAGGAGTCCATTGCGAACAAACAACGTGACACGAAATTTATATATATGTATGGGGTTAATATAATTTTTTATCGGTGTTCTATGACTCGTTTCGAGATAACGATTTTAATAATGAAAAAGATATTCAAAAGAAAATAAGAAACTTCTTCTTCGTCGTAATCTAATTTAATCCATTTTAATATATTTTTGAACAAATTTTATGTTTTATATAAGAGAAAAAAAGAAAATCGTATTTTTGCAAATAATATTGATGAATTTCATAGCCTTCTTTTTTCGATTTTAATACTCTCTCTCTCTCTCTCACACACTCTCTTTTATTCATCGATTTCTTTCTATGTATATCCACATCAATGTATGTAAAATATAAAATATGCATTGACGTCGAAAAAGCCGTTGCATTAATGGATAGAATATTTAGTACGAATGATATCTCGTCTGAGACAATAAAATGTACAATGCATTTAGTTGCAAAAGTTGAGAAAAAATGACGCAGAATCTTTTTTACAAAATATTTACTATTATTAAACTATATATATATATTATCAAATCAATCATTGTCAAATTTCAAATCATTTTTAAACAAAATGTTGAACTATACCTAGTAACATAATGTTTTTTTTTTTTTTTTTTTTTTTTTTTTTAATGAATTTCAATAACTTTTACAATTTAGATGAAATTCAATGAACACAGAAATAAAAATTTATTATTCTATATTATTTTGTTGTATTATTAAAAATTGTTGATAATAATGATAATAATAATAATAATAATAATGATATAAAAAATAATAATATAATAATATAATTAATAATATTATTGATATAATTGATAATTTTATATTTTATATATATATATATATATTTATAAATCGTTTTCAAAACGAAATCATGATTGAGATGCATTGCAAAAATAATAATTTCTATATATATATATATTAAAGTAAAACTCGATTTTTTTTAAACTTATATCTTCATTATTTTAATATAGAAAAAATGTTCGATATAAACACAAAATAAAACGTTTACTTTGTTATATTTCTCGAGACAAAATCATTCAATAATGATACGATACGTCCTATAAAATGATCTTCTTTCATAAGAATTCAATCAAATTCTATTTTTAAATTTAATTTTGGATTATATATTTTGATATATATAAAAAAAAAAAAAATCCTAACTCTTCTCCTTTTACGTCAAAGCAAACAAGAGAATGATCATCAGACGATTTCGACTTATTGGATTAACGTGATCGATAATTCGTTCGAATAAAAATAATAGTTCAACAAATGTTAAAATGTGCATAAGTATGTTTCGTTGTTTACACTTTTCCATATTTAACACAACAACAATCAAGTCGCGTGACAAAACAATTCTAAAGAATGATGTTTAATTATTACACGTGTATCGATAATTAATGACAGTGTATGTAAGTAAAAGAAAGACAAAAAAAAGAAAAAAAATTACAAAATTATTTGCACGATTTATTTTTACTATATGAATAATAATTATAATACGGAATAAATTAAAAGAATTCATTCTTTTCATTTCAAATTGTTGAGTTAATCCACCATCATAATTACACACATTATTATTATTATTATTATTGTATATATTTATTTATAATTAATAAATGATAATATATATATAATTTATATATTATTATTATTATTATTATTATTATTATTATAATTTCGATAAAGTAACGATAATGATTTATGATATCGATACTATTTAATATGCAATACTTGAAAATGTTTCTTCATCGATTCTAAACGATCTACGATCTATTTGAATATGTAAATATACAATAATTGATCTGTTTTACAGCTTAATAAACAATAGAATAAAAGTTTTCAAATATTTCAAGACGAATTATGTTGACGCAGGTGTCGAAGTGCAAAGACACATTTTTTATAAATCGTATTTTTGGGGGGGAAAAAAAGAAAAAAAAAACGTAAGAAAAGGTACGGAATGATATGAAACAAGAACTAAAAGACAATTATTATGCGATATCCGTGAAATAATTATTTCTAAATTACGAAATAATTCATAGACCATTTTTTAACTCGTTATCGAAAAATACGTTTACATAGAATTGTTTTTAAATTTAATTTAATTGAAAAACAAAAAAAACAAAAAAACAAAAATAAATAAATAAATTATTCTCTATCGATTGAAAATTGTTTCTTTGTTTATTTTCTTTTTATATATATATAGTTTTTTTTCTTAGATCTTTTTATTTCATTAACTTACGTTTGAACAAAATGCCAGACAGTCATTAACTCCAAAAGCATTGGCAAATGATGATGTTCGTTGATGATAAATCAGTACAATTGTCGATAAAAATATCAAAAGAAAAATATTATTATTATTTATCATTGTCATCAATATGTCGTCGTTGTAATTAATGATTCAAAAAATAATATATATCAACTCGCATTTGTATTTCCACGCGAACACCATGACTCGAGTGACACAAAAAGAACGTGTTGAGAAAAAACAACAACAACAACAACAAAAGTATAAACCAAAAATAGAAATAAATAAAGTAAAAAAAGTAATCGATACGTGTGATTTATCGATATATGTATTACTTTGATTTATTTATACTTTAAAACTGTCTATTTTATCTGTGCGTTTAATGATTTTAGAAAAAAAAAAAAGCAACAACAAAAAAGAAACCATTCGTAGACCGTTTGCCTTATATCTCTTTTAACGCGTGAATGCTTACAAACTAAAAGGTATTCGCGTATTTCATGCAAATTAAGAACTCGATTCCCCCTTTAAAGAAGCACAAACAATGTTTTATTCGAAAGTATGTATTAGTAGTAGTTATCCCCTACTACTTTACCTTACGTTTCGTAGTATTACTTTTAAAACACTCATGTGTTAGTAGAGCTTCCCACATGTGAAAACCAAATGAAGGCTATTTTTTTCTTTTTTTTCTTATTATTATTTATTCCTTTGACGTATTACCCTTATTTATACAATCTTGATACATCCTTGTTTATACCATAGTAATCCTTATTATACAATTGTCTTTATACATTTTAAGAATATATATATATATACAGTAAAAATATTATAAAATTTATTTATATGTATTTTGAGATAATCAAAAATAGACTACTAATGGATAGTTTTAACTAATTATAATGATCATTATGTTGGATATAATATTTAGGAATATTTGTTACCTTTGTATACATATATCAGTATGCTTCTTAATTTGTTGCCTGTAACGTCATCACTATGAATATTAAGTATAATCTATAAGAATCATTCATAGAGAAAATCCTAACGTATATATATATATTTTTTATTAGTACATTTATCTTTAATAAATGAGAATATTATATGTGTCAAATAAATTAAAATACTAATCAATTTGAAACTACAAAAATTTAGGTCAAATTAATACAGTAAATATGAATAGTAAAATATTAAATAAAAATATATCACATTATACAATGTAGAAACGTCAAAAAAAAAATTCTCACTTAGTGGTGTTAAGTATAATTATTCCGGAAACTAATTTTAAAAACACAAAAAAAGAAAACGAACTATTGATTAAGTGCTTTGATAATAATATTCTCGAAATAGAGTTAATCGCTTTAACTTGAAAACGACTCATCTGATAAATATATTTACAAAATTGTCTAAAGTAAAAAAAAAAAACTAACGATTAAGTTACATTTTATTCTAAATAAATAAATACAAAAATATATGTGATCAATATATGAAATTAATAAATTATATATGCTAAAGTTATATCTACATTTAAATAGAATAACATGTTCAATAATAGACTAATATTTATAATCGAAGATCGATTAATTTAACTGTTAAAGGAAAGAATAATATAAGAGAATAAAATTTATTAATATGTTGTATTATATATTATTCAAATGATTTACATCGTATGGAAATGCAATGAGCGGTCTGCACAATCATCGACTAACCTATAAACTGTTTTGACATGATGATCTCTTGAAATGATATACAAATATGCCCATTCATTTAGAATAATTCGCATTTATATAATGAAATAGAAACACTAAACAAAATAGCATAATTCCAAGCATGTTGCAGAAAACAGTAAGTTGTACATCGGTTATCATCTGAAAGTGACAAATACTCTGATAAAACTTATTTATTATATAAATCAAAATAATATATAATTATGTTAAATATATAATTGATCATTTAAATCATAATAATGTATATAAATACCTTGAATATTTGTGATATTATTTACAATTTGTCTAATCTTTTTTTTTTTTTCTTTCTCTCTATTGTCTTTTATCTTTTATCAAACTATACACGTCATAACAATAACGTACATTAAGAACGATTTTCACATATCTAACAGTGTACACGGTGAACGGTACTTTATTTACAAAAACTATTAATATACTCAAAAATGATTAGTCAAGAATAAAGAATGTTGATTGGTTCATTACAACTTGGCACTACTGTCATGTTTGAATCAGATGCATTTACGAACGCATTTTACCTATCTTGGCGTCGCTCGCACGAACTATTCAATTTAAAATTTTATAACGGAAAAGTTGTGATTAAACACGCGTATATTATTATTACAGAAATAAGGTCTTACCGCAGAAAGTTTATAAATACAAAAAAAGGATTTGTCAAACAGAAAATCTACGATTATTAAAGATTAAGAAGATGAATGAGACGCGCACTGGAAAAAAGGATAAAAACCAACATATACAAGTGTTTGTACGAGTCAGGTGCGGGAAAAAAAAAAGGATAATAATTCTTTATACTAAATTTATATTAATTTGTATTATTATTTTTGTTATCGTGTATAATCATTCGTTGTTTTTTTTATATATATATATTTAATCACAGGCCGATAAACAATGCAGAACGAATTGGAAAATCAGTGTCAGTGGTGGATGTACCATCAAATAAAGAAGTGATAATACGCGAAAGACCACAAGACAAACTTTCAAAAAAGTTTACATTTGATGAAGTATTTGGTCCATTATCAAAGCAGGTATGCATATTGTTTTATAATTTATATTTTTCTTGTTGTTTTGTTTAATATTTTATCATTATAATTAATTGAATTTTATCTTTAATTTAGATTGATGTATACAAAGCTATTGTTAGTCCATTATTGGAAGAAGTTTTGGCTGGATATAATTGTACGGTGTTTGCTTATGGACAAACAGGTACAGGAAAAACATTCACTATGGAAGGTGTCAGCAATGATCCAGCACTACATTGGCAAAGTGTAATTTATTTTATTATTAAATATTAATTAATTTTAATTATTTATTTACTTTATTAATTGAGCTACTCATTTGCGTGATTGATTAACTACGTAAAAGAAAATTAATAAAAGTTCATATACAATGTTATTGTATTATGGTGTTTAACATATTAAACGCCTAGTTTTTCTAAACCAACTTTATAGATTTATCGTTCAGACTGTATCAGTTATCAATAGCTAATATTTCCTATAGCTGACAGATTACCATGACTTTAATGAAAAGCTCAACATTAACGACTTGTTGCTTTATATGTTTAATTCATTATTAAGGAAATTTATTTTAATTATGAATAAAAGCATTGGTTAAACGTTTCGACATGAAATGTTCAATTAATTCGTATACTATTTAGGACACGACTGCTGGGATTATACCACGCACTTTAAGTCATTTGTTTGACGAACTACGATTATTAGAAGCTCAGGAATATACAGTACGAGTCAGCTTTCTAGAACTCTATAATGAAGAATTGTTTGATCTTTTATCACCCAACGATGATGCTTCCAAAATAAGGTATTTGTAATACACTTTAATTTATACAAATGTATAAAAATTGTTTTTATTTCATATTTCTATATTGTTATTAGATTATACGAAGACACATCAAGAAAAGGTGCTGTTATTATTCATGGTTTAGAAGAAGTAACGGTACATAATAAAAGTGAAGTTTATAAGATTCTTGAAAAAGGATCAGAAAAAAGACAAACAGCTGCAACAATGATGAATGCACATTCAAGGTTGATACAATATTAAACGTTGTTAGATTAATTGTCTTAGAAAATTTATAATTTTTTCAAAAAGAAATGCTCTATATTATTCTTTACAATTTGTAATATTAATAATAATCTTCATGATTAATTTTCAGTCGATCGCATACAGTTTTTTCAATCACAGTACATATCAAAGAGAACACCATTGATGGAGAAGAACTTTTAAAAACAGGAAAATTAAATTTAGTAGATTTAGCGGGAAGCGAAAATGTGGGTAGATCTGGCGCAGTTGATAGAAGAGCTAGGGAAGCTGGAAATATTAATCAATCATTATTAACTCTTGGACGAGTTATAACAGCATTAGTAGAAAGAGCACCCCATATACCATATAGAGAATCTAAATTAACGAGACTTCTCCAAGAATCATTGGGTGGACGCACTAAGACATCTATTATTGCAACGATATCTCCTGCGAGTATAAATTTGGAAGAAACCTTGTCGACATTAGATTATGCGCATAGAGCTAAAAATATTACCAATCGTCCAGAAATTAATCAAAAGCTTTCTAAGAAAGCATTACTTAAAGAATATACTGAGGAAATAGAGAGATTAAGAAGAGATTTATTAGCAACACGCGAAAGAAATGGTGTTTATCTTGCACAAGATAATTATAATGAAATGCAAAGTTTAATAGAATGTCAAGGTAGAGAGATAGAAGAAAAAATCAATCATATTAAAGTACTCGAAGAAACAATGCTAAATAAAGAGGTACACTATTGATATTAACATATTTTTAAATTTTTTTTTGTTTTTTATAAATACATTATATATATATTTTCTTTTATTTCTCAATTTACAGAAATTATTCAATGATTTGCAAGTACAACATAGTATACAAACAAATAAGTTGCAAGAAGTGGAAAATAATTTAACAAACACAACTAATGTATTAAAATCAACTACAAATCATTTAAAAATGACTAAACAGGAAAGAGATGAACAGAAATATCTTGTAGAAAAACATGCATCAGCTGAAAAAGTATTATTATCTCAAGCGAAGACACTTTTGAATGTTGCAAATGTAGCAAGTACAGATACTTATAAATTACACGATAAAATTGGTCGTAAAACGTAAGTACATAATTAATCTGGGGGTTTTTTTTTTTCTTTCTTTCTTTTCTTCTATAATAATTAATTAACAGAATAACATTTGTTCTATGTATAGGAAAGTAGAAGAAGAAAATAAAAATCTTAGTGAACAATTCCAAAGTAATATTAAAAATCGTTTTCAAGATATTGAAAATGATATATCTGTTTATTCACACGAATTGGTACAATTTTGCATGTCTCTGAAGACACAAATTGGTAAAAGAAAAATACTTTAATCATATTAAATTGTTATATAAGAAAATTCATGTACTTATGTAAACATTTGTATGTATTTAGAAACGGTTACCAATGAAGGATTAACAGAAACCGAGCTTATTACTAATAAATTAACAAAGGACATAGACACTTCTGTAAGTTATATTTAACTGCATTTCTTAATACATTAAATAAAGTAATCATTAATAATACATTTTTCAGTATAATGGTTATAAAGAATGGTTAAGGAAAGAAATAGAAACTGTTACCAATGTAACTGAAGATGAGCGTAATCGATTAGACAAATTTTCTAATAGACTAGTATCTAAAATCGAAAATTTAGTAAAAACAAACATTGCTGAAAATTTAAACGAATTAAATGAAAAAATTTCGCAAAAACTTGATCATTTAGCAACATTAGCAAGAACATCTTTAAACGAAATGTGTGTATATCAACTTGAGGAATCTAATCAGTTATATAAGAATATGGAAGAGATCAAACAAACCGTTCAAAATGTACTTTATAGTCAAAATCAAACTATACAAGAAAATCAACAATTTGCAAGGGTATATTAAATTACATATTTATAATATATATATATATATATAAATATAAAAATTAGAAATACATTTCAACAATCGTTGTTCTAGATGTTCGAAGATGTATATCTTCAATTCAATAATTTGTACAGAAATGAAAATAAAAGGTGTACTGAAGTTTCTGCTATGTTAAATCATGTACATGAAACATGCAACAAAATTAGTAATAACGCTAAAGAAGAATGTAATAGTGGTATAAATAAGAAACAAAGTTTACAAAACAAATTAAAAGATGATATTACAATAATTGGAAATGATATTGCCGCTAGTACAAACGAGGTAGTATTAAATAAAGTTTAATTTTATAAAGAAATACACACACACACACATACACGCACACTCACAAAATTTTGTTTCAAAATAAGAATGAGATATAACGATCAAAATATATTCTTTTATTATAGAATAGGACATTGGCAGAAGAAATGTTAAAGCAAAGTGTTGTTTTAACGAAAGATATACAAACAGAATTATCTGCAAGGTCTAATGCGTTAGAAAAATATAAAAATCTGTCGGAAGAACATGCGCAAGTATTGAAACAACAAATAGAAAATGATAGAACTGTTCTTACCACTTCGGTTAAAGTAAGTTCAATGATTACAATGATCAAATTTATATCATTTTTATCTCTGTCATAATAACTTGTTCTGTTATTTGTTTTGTTTTATTTTTTTTTTTTTTTTTTTATAATAGGATATCAACGAAACTGTAGAAACTACATATGCTAATACACAAATTGGAAATAAGTTGGAAAACCGAAGTACAGAATCGATAGAATGCAATAATAGGATAATTGCACAATTGCATATGACAGAGCATGAAATCGAAAAATTCCTTATTGAAGATTTGCGGCACGACATTGCAACTGGTTTTTATTTTTATTTGTTTTTTTTTTTTTTCTACGTATCTTAAATAAAAATATATGAAATTTTGTCAAATAACTTTTTTTTTTATCCTTCAGGTACAACACCTGCAAGAAAAGAATTTCAATATCCTCGTCATTTGACTTCAACTTCTCCTCATGAACGTATTCTTCAAAGATTTAGAGAAATTAGAAAAAATATGGACACATCAGAAAGTGATGTAAGTTATTATTTTTAGTACTTAATTAGTTTGATCATTTTTAATCATTTAATTTAATCATGTATAGGTATAAGAGACGTAATATTAATTTAACATATAATATTATTCGTTATTTTGCGAAATCCATAATTAATTCTTAAAATAATCAATTATTACATGAAATAACTATACCGACAAGGTAAAGTATGAGATAAGATATATATACATATATATTAATAATTTGATAAATATCATTACAGGAAGATACGACGATTATAATCAAATCACCCGAAAATGAATCTAACGTTTCATTGTCTTTATTTGAAAACGGAACAATTACTTCGTCATCACCACTTTGCAATACAATCGAAGAGTTACCAGACAACCAAAATGAAACGATTAAATACAATATTGTCAGGGCTGCTTCAGCATCAGATATTTCCTTAATTCCAAGGCCAATTTTTGAAACCAGTATTCAATCAGAACCTGATTTATCTATAAAGGTGAGCATTTTATTATTACATTTGGAATAAACGATTGTATCTACTTATAATTATTATTTACTGTTTTGTTAATTATTAATTAAACACAAAACTTTGTATACATATACAGAGCAATGATAAGGAAAACGACAAAGATGAATTTTTAAAACCAGACATGATGAAAAGCAAACGATTATCAAAAACTAAACTTGCAAATCGAAAAGTGCTTGGATCATTCAACTGATAATATTTTTATACATACATTATAGTAAAATGAAATTGAATTACTTGAAATAAATATTTTGTAAAGAGAAAAAAAAAAAAAAAAAAAGGAAAAGAATACTATACAAAATCGTACAAAATAAGTTGGTTTTTATCTTTTTTCTTTTTTTTTACATATTAAGAAAGTTAGATATATTTACATATATATATATATATTATATTTCATTAGAATTTATCGTATAATCCTTCTGGAATCATATGTATTGTTTTTAATTGATTTGTACTTTTCAATCATATTATTATAACAAATATAATACATATTGATATATGTGTACAGGTGAAATTATGCCAATAAATTAATAAATTATCATATACGCGAAGAAAAAAAAAACATATTGTATTATTTTTAAACATAAAAAATAGTATTTTTGCAGATTTTCTATAAGACAAAAAATAATAATACTAAAACATTATTATTATTATTATTATTATTATTATTATTATTATTTTCTGAATTTGACAAGATGATAAATACAAATCGTTAATTTATCAGATTTTGTCCAATTTATTGTTAAAAAGATAAATTTTAATTTTAACAAAAAAAAAAAAGACAACAACAAGAACTTTAGTGTTTTGCTATATATATATTTTTTTATTTTCTTATAAAAAACATAATATATATATAAATTACGCGTGTCACGTTGTTTGTCCGCAATGGATTCCTAAACTACTGAACCGATTTTAATCAAATTTTGCACACTGTGTGCAATTTCATCCAACTTGAAAGATAGGATAGTTTATATCTCAATTTATAATCACAATATTATGCGAATTATTTGTTTATTAACAAAGAGTCATGATTATCTCTGTTAGTTCGATAAGATTCTAA